TCTTTTTTCATTTCTGATGGAGCAAGGTAATTGCCCTTGACATTAACCAGGAATAGAGAATTTAGAAGTCACTGATAGAATTGGGTTCCTGGTTATCACAGGTAGACAAAGACCTCTATTCCTGCTGATAACCAGGGAAGAGGTGAGAGGCCTCCGTGAGTCACACCGTTCCTGGCAAAGATGCTGGCAGGAGAGCAGCAGCTCTGATCAGCCAGAATTGGTATCAAAACCCCTTGACAACTAGCTCATTATATGAGGCTGATTGGAAAGAACAGTCGTGTAGAGTATACATGCATTTGCAAAAAAATAAAATAAAAATAAAAATCACTTCTGTTCTGTCTAAGCATCCTGTTATTTGGTTGTTTGCTCTCTCTTTAAAAGGACTAGAACTGGTCTTACAGGAATAGTTAATTATACCAGAAATCTTCATGTTTATGCCAAAGTTTTTTCCCAAAGTCTGGCTATCTAAAAAATATTTGCAAAGATCATAATCACTTTTTTTATGTCTTTAAATATAGGGACCTCAACAGATAGATGCTAACTTGCATTTATGTTCAAACTTTGGGGCCCTACTTCCATCCATTCTGCCATTTGGAAATAACAATATCACGCTCACTGCCTCTCATTCAAATTCTCTTTCTATTGTACATCTCAGTGCTCCTGGGGGAGCTAGAGTGTCTCTCCCCAGGTGCCAGCTATTCCTCACAGAGCTTGGTTTTGTAATGTCCTAATCACTGCATTGTGAATAGTAAATTACTGGAAATTACCGTCAAATAACCTGTGTACAGCATATGAAACCTATATTAGCCTAATGAAAATAACTTAGTGTTATTAACCTCATAAAAAATAATTTTAAAATAATCAAGGAGAACTGTGTAAAATGACTTAAATCTCATTTTAATAAGTGATTTTGTAAATTTTCCTGATTATAAAAAGTTGAAGAAATTTAATAATTTATTATATAAGAGAAAAGGAAAATGTAATGTAAGTGAGTTTTTAGATCATTCTAGACCAGGCTCAGAACACTTTCTGGAAGATGGTTAAGTGGTGAAATGTATTTCATTATTTGATGAAGACAGGGAGTGAAAGAGCTAGATAAACCTTTCCAATTGTTTATAAAAAGAAGAAAAAAGAATTATTAGCCACATATTTTTTAAGAACACCTGAGCTGAAGAGAGTTTTATACCTTTTAGTCAAATACACTGAAATCTACCTGACATCACTAGAATAAAAATAAATCATTTTTACATGTTGCAAACTTAGAAACTGAGATAATTTGGACAGGTGTTAAGATGAAGTTTACTTTTACTTTATTTATGGTAAAGTTTCCTAAGAAAGTGAACAAAATAAACAGGCTTGGTAGGATGTTTTATCCTGCCAAGAGGGAATAAGTCTTTTTCAAGCTCATTCCTCCCCGACCCCTCTCAGCATTCATTGAGTGCTCACTCTGTGGATGTGTTTCTTTTCTACTGTAGCTCTTTAACACATTACTATAAACTTGGTGGCTTAAAACAACACAAATTTCTCTTAAAGTTGTATGGATTAGAAGTCTGACGTGGGTCTCGCTGAGCTAATAGCAACGTGTCCATAGGCTGCATTTTCTTTCTGGAAGCTCTGAAGAAGCATCTGAGATTGGCCTTTTTTTTTGTTGTTTGTTGCCTTTTTCAGTTTCTAGAGGCCATCCGTCTATATCCCTTAACTTATGGTTTGCTTCCTTCATTGAATACCAACAACATTACATCTCTCGGACCATTTTTTTTTGTAGTCACATCTCCCTCTGACCACAGCTGGAAAAGGTTTTGGATATTAAGGGCCCACGTGATACGTTGTGTCCACCTGGACAATCCTGGACAGTCTCCCCATCTCAAGGCCCTTAACATTAATCACATCTGCTATGTCCCTTTTTTTAAAATTTTATTTTAATTTATTTTTCCAAATACATTTGTCTCTGCCTACCCCCCACCACTTTCCCTTGCCCCCTCCCTCCCTCCCTCAGCTCTTCCCCTTTGGTTTTGTCCATGAGTCCTTGCTATATGTTCCTTGACGTTCAGGGATCATTGCTATAGTTCTTTTTGCCATGTGTGATAATGCATTCACAGGTTCCAGGGACTGGGACCTGGATATCTCTGAGGGGACCATCTGCATGCCACAGTGGGAGGTGGTGTTCTGTTCACAGGACTGTGAATCAGCATCAGAAGATACTAGTGTAGACATACTCATTTTAAATAAATTTGGTGTATAATAAGGGAGCATAATAAATTTATATTTATTAATGAAGGGGATAATGATCAACTTCCTTTAAATAAAAAACATTCCTAAAGTGTTTGCAATGTTTTTATGTACATAAAATTTAAAAAATAATTTAATGATTGTTTACTAGTAATTAATAATACTAATTGCGTTGCCTTCCACAAATTTACATATTTTACATAATTTAATTATAATAATATACCTTTATATACATGATACTACTTTATAATCTGTTGTCTTCATTTAATTCTTATACATAGTATTATGTGAACTAAATATACTCTTCCACCCTTCATCAGAGGGAGAAGGACAAACTAAAAATGGTGCGCGGGCAGCACAGAGGCTTTTTCAGCCAGTGCATGTGTACTCTGCTCGATTGCTCCTTCTAATCAGCCTCATAATGAGATGGTCAAGGAAGCATTGAGACCCATATGAAATAAAATATTTGTATTTTGTTAAGCTTTAATCCTGATATTAGAGATTCATGTGCTTACAGTTTCTTGCTAGTATAGATAATGCTTACTGTACATTCAGTTATTTGTACAGCTGTTTTTTGCTTTTATTGAATAAATCCCTAGGGAAAAAATCCTTTGAAAGAAATTATGGACTCAGAATATATGGCTACTGCTTGCCTACCCATTCCCCTCTTCTTATTTATTTATAGAACCATAATTTTGTTCAGGCATTAGGTGGTATTTTGGTCAAGGACCACGGGTTAAGCCCTAAGAGATGAAATTGTCTATAAGCCAGACCTGAAAACTTCTGTCTCCTTTGCCAGTGACTGATTTAAGAATTACCTGTGACTCAGCTCTGTCCAATAAGACCAAGTTGAAGTTTCTGTAGCTGGTGAGGGGTTGATCAGGACTTGGATTTAGGCTGCTGCTTCTGTGATGTGCCAACATTTCTGTGTACCATCTGGGTGTCTGTTTTTAGTATAAATCAGAGGAGAGGAGGAGCTGAGCTAAGATGAGTTTGGAATAAGAGTAAAAGGCAGTGCAGAGGATGGAGCAAAAGGATTCAAAGATGACTGACACACGGGGCCAGGACCACTGCGTAGGAGTGAAAGTGCCATTGGGACTGTAGGATTGTAGTTCAAGTGTTTCATATGCGCAGGGATATTGACTTCAATTTGGAATATGTGACCTGAGGACAGAACATCCCATTAAGTGTGGGCCTCCAGAGAGACAGAGATTTCAATGGAAATGTACTATGAACAACAAATACAAGCCCTCTATATAACTTAAAATTTTCTAGTAGAAACATTTTTAAAAAAAGGGAAAGAGAAACCATTGATGTTAATTTTAATAATGAACTTTATTGAACACGATATGTCAAAAATACTATCATTTCGTTATATAATCATTACATATGCCAACATCTTAGTTTGCTCTGGCCACATTTCAATTGATTCATAGCTGGGTGCCTAGAAAGACAAATTAAAAACAATTTATAATGTCAGCACCTTTCTTTTCTTGTGGATGTGAACCTGTTTCGGCTGGGTTTTTTTTTTTGTTTTTTGTTTTTTTGCTATTATGGACAACTCCATGGTGAACAGTCATAGGTACAACTCCCGGTGCAGAATTTGGGATAGCACATTCCCAGGAGTAGGATAGCTGGGAGGCAGCTGATGAAATACTGCCCCGGTTTTTTCCAAGGTGGTGGCACCAGTTCACAGTCTCACTAGTAGTGCGTGAGAGTCCGCGCTGTTCTGCATTCTTGCTGACATTTGGAGAAGTCACATTTCTTCATTTTTGTCAAACTACTCAGTATAAAATGTTTATTATTTTGTAACAATCTGCATTTATCTAATAATTTATGAGCTTAAGTACTTTTTTCCAATGCAATTCAATATTTCTCTTCTGTGAAAATCACAAGTAGTTACTCATTCAAACATAAATATGTATGTTATATGTTATATATATTATATTAATTCACATATGTGTCATATAATAAATTCATTCACAAATATTTATTAAGCAGTATCTGCTACACATTGGTCTAGGTAATGTAAATATACCTGTGTGGGAAAAAATAGTCCCAAATCCTGTCCTCATGGAGTCTGCATTCTAGTGTGTGTATGTGGTAAGGAGGGGGAGACAAAGAAAAGTAAAACACTATGTGCCCTGTGATGCTAGTGAACTATGGTTTAAGTCTGACTCTGCCATTTTACATCATTAAACCTTGGTTTCTGCAGTTGTGGGAAGGGGAAGCAATTGAATCTATCTTATATTGTTTATTAATTGCATATGAAGAAGTTGACACAGTGCCTGGCAAATTGTTAGGACTCAAAAAATATTATTATTTTCCTCTTTCTTGCATCTACTTTTTCTTCAGTGATTTTTTTTTCAGTTAAACTACTGAAGTTTAAAGTTAAATATGGTTTGGTTTTGTTGAAGTGTTGGCTCTCATTTGGGTATCAGCCTGCTGGTGTTTTCTACAATGAGACAGATGATTTTGGCTAATTTTGAGCTGTGTTATTTTGAAACTTCTTAAATCCCAAGGATCCAGAGCCTGAGAACACACACTTTAAAAAAAAAAAGCTGTGTCGTATCAAATAGCCTAAAATGTGGGAACATTCATAGGATTGTCTCATATAATTCAGGGCTATGTTCTGTAAATATGTGTTGCTTGAATTCATTTTACTGTAACGATCAATTTATTGTAAACAGACTCTGTGCAAAGTACTGTGTAGAAGAGATGAATATGACCTTATTAATCTTTGGGACAATTATTTTTTCCTTCTTTCTTAGATAATGATGTTGAAAATGATCTTCAGTCAAGCATCAGTTGAGCACTGCAAGACACAACCAGAAAAGCAGAAAGAATGCAACTTCTTCTTAATAGCTGTCCGCCTGGCTTCACTGAACCAGATCTTGGATCCCTGGGTCTATCTGCTGCTAAGAAAGATTCTTCTTCGGAAGTTTTGCCAGGTAGCAAATGCTGTCTCCTGCTGCTCTAATGATGAACAGAAAGGGCAGCCTATCTCATTATCCAATGAAATAATACAGACAGGAGCATGAAAGAAAACACTTAATCAATTTGCATGTTCACAGCTTTCTGCAACAAATAGCCATAAACCTTACTGTGAATTTAGGCATCTCTGGCATGCCATTGTTTATGCATTGAAGTAGAATTTTTCATATAAGGCTGACTGGTCTCATAGATAATCTCATGTGTGCCAAAGGTACTGAAACACAGACAAAGGAAAATATATGAAATAACAGTCTAGTGTTTTAGGTTCTCTGCCATTTGTAGCTGAATATGTGATTATTTATAAATGATCTTGATCTGTGGTGGGAGTAGGGAGGGGAAAGCTATTATTCTAGTATACTGAGCGCGTGGCTGGTTTAATGCATAGATCATCGAAGACAAGGCAACTGTTTGTTTTTGTTCAAAGTCATTGGTCTTCTGTGTTCTCTTTCACTCTCTCCTTCTTTCTCTCTGTGTCACTTTTTGCTCCCTTACATTTTTTGAAAAGTTGAATTAAGATTAAAAAATGTATTTACAATATTCATTGGTACTGATGTTATTTAAGTATTGTTCAATATGTAAATTAGCTGCTAAGGTTACAAAGTTTAAGTGTTGGTTGTGTTGGTAATTAGGTTTACTTATTATCTGAATAAGAGCCAATTTCATTTATTTTAAATATGTGTGGACTTGTGACTATTCAAATGGCTAAATGTTCTTCCTTTTGAGTACATTCTTAATTCCTACGAGCCTGGAGAAGATTCATGAAACTGATCATGAGAGTCAGTGAAGTGACTTTTCAGAATGCTATTTAAGGACTCATTTGAGCACTAAATATAAGTACTCTGGTTAATTATTTCTGATTTTTTCACCAAAAGTATTCTCTAGTCTTTTGGATATTTAAATCCAAATAATTAAATACTAACTCTGATCCTAAGACCAATAAAATTTTAAGAGTTCCATAAAGACTTTCCATAGTTAGGCCCATATTATTTTGGGCTTAATAATAATAAGAACAATATTATTTTGTTCTTATTCAATAAGAGGGCAGCACTTTCTCTACCCTCTCCTCAGAGTAGCTCTATCTAAATATTTATTATTAAGTATTTTTGTTATGGTCAATATATATATATATATAACCTTAATAGCTAAGCTGTATATCTTTTAGGCACCAGTAGATCACTACTTTAAATTTTGAGAATTGCACTTTTTAAAAACATTTTCCCAACAAACACAACAGTCGTTTAAGTTAGGCCTACACAAAACGTTCTTTGTATTCTTGGAAGCATTCATTTTGTAAACTTTTGTATTCAACTTTTTCTCATCAAGTTTCTAATCTCCAGGTTACTTTATTGCTTTCTTCATTAAAAAAAAACAACCAAACTTGAGATTTATTTATACTTTTTTTTATAGTAACTATATTTTTCATTGAGTTTTGTAGGCATTTGGGGAAGAATTAGCTTTAACAAGTACCAGATATCTATTAGATTACTATGTACACCAGCCTAGGTCAATCAAGAATGATCATTTTAAATGACCATGCCAAACTGAGTGAGAAGATAAGATCTCTTGGGAGTACTTAGGTAATTTGTGATAGTTTGGCAAATTTAGGTTGTAGAAAAAATGGTGATAAGTGACCTATGTGAAAACCCCATTTTTAAATCTCTCTGTGTCTTAGTTGGATTATCCCACAGGTCACCTTGTTGGGGGATGAGACAAAGCTATCTACTTTACAGGAAAAAAAAGTGTACTTAGATGACCTTGGAATAAAAAGACTTTACTTCTTGAGTGGTCCTCTGACCCTAGGTTTTAATTAGATAGACACATGTGCCATGTGGATTTGAGTGGTGTGAGCATGATGGGGTTATTTCTTCCAACACCTATCACTGCACTCGGAATACAGGAAGTGCTCAAAATTTGTTCAGTGAATGAACGAATAAATGTCTGCCAAACCCAAGTGTCATCAGCGAGGCACTGCCGAAGAGTCAAAGCACTTTATGCCATTACAGTTTGTCAAGCTGATAAAGTGAATGATCTCTGCTTATTTAATTACAGAAATATGAATTTATCTTCAAATGTGTAATGTCATATTGTAGCACAACAAAGTGCTTTATTTTTATTAATAATTTAAGAGACTGATAAATTCAAGAGATAATGGAGATTACTGTCAAAAAACCCCTTTTTATCCAACCACAGAAATACATAAAGACAAAAGAGCCTGAGACTTACTCTTGACCACAAAATAAATTCTTATCCCAAGGACCTGGTAGGTGTAGACAAATGGCAAGTTTTTGAGGTGGGAAAGGAAGAAATTATGTAAGTGACATGTGAGTTTTGTTATCTAGGCAGCCATTTGTTAGTCCAGGGTAAACCTGACAAGAAATAAAAGTCAAATAATTTTAGCCTTGGAATGATAATTGAGGTGAGATTTCATAGACATTGTGCAGAGGCTGAAGACATAGTTTGGAAGTGGACCTCTACAGTCATTATAGAAGAGTATGCCTGTTGCCAAGTTTAAGTTCATTGGCCTTAAAATTCACTCTCATATACTTAGTTTATATGAGCAGGAAAAAAATGCATGCATAAATTATGACAATTCCTAAACTTCACATTATTGGTAAAATGAATAGAGGCCTAGGAAACCACATGAAAAGAAATGAGTGAGTAGAATGTGGAAATATAAGTAAAATCAGCCATAAAAGGTTTGATAAAGGAGTTCTGATTTTCTAATGATAAAATTATACAGCTATGCTAAGTCATAGAAGAAAATCATGATGTACTCTCCAATAAGAACAGTTGGCTTTTCAAATAAAATAGGTATGGTGGATGTCCTAAAAATACGGTACGTTGAAAAAGGTAATGTGTTATCTTACAACTTACCACATTTACCTATTGCTGTATCCAAGAAATTTCAAGTAAACCTAAGTGTTTAATTGTGCCAGATTTAAGTGACAGTGAGTTTAAAAAATGCATATATGTTTCTACTTAACACTTTCTCAGTATATGAAAGATCTCAGGACCATATCACAGGAGAGAAACTGCAGAAGCTCCTGTAAAAGTGAACTATAAAAGGCCCCATGACCATGCTGACGCATTGAAACTGTTCAGGCTACTTTGAGGAGGTGGGAAATCTGTGCCAGTATTCTAATACGAAATTTTCAACTAAATTAGGCTTTTTATTTATTTAATACTTTTTATATTTTTGTTGGTTTTGACTCCAAATTAGTGATTTGCTTTTAATCTTTTCCACAACAATCGTTTAATAGTTCTTTTGTATTGAGATCAAGTTGGAGACAGAAAATAGGCAAATTTGGTTCTTTGTAATTTTAGGCACATATGTTGCCTACTTATTTTCATACTTTAACCCTAAAAGCTACTCTTGAAATATGCAGGATACTGGAAGATGAGTGGCACAGAGACTGCAGGGTATTTATTACTGAAATCACATGGAATAATTAAAATTTCTATGATTTACCTTTATGAAAAGTTTAGACCATCAACCATCCCACATCATCACAACGGCTGGTTTATTGCTGGTTTTGTGCTTATATACGTCTCAATAAAAATCTCTAAAACTGATGTCTAAATAAATGTACAGAATTATTCAATGAATACAATTACATCATGTTCAAAACAAAGATTTTAATACTGTGGCCAAGTCCATGGAACTGTTTTCTGAGTTGCAATAAAATGCTGAAAAGAGGTGCCATATGTCTGTGATGTTTCATCACATTGGTTGTGATAGGCCCAATGTACAAAGTTGAAAATCGATCTAAAACTCACATACACATTTGTTAAGAAGCTGAAGCTCAGTGCTCTAAGACAACTAATACATGGCGATAGCATAGGAAGCATAAAACAGAGAACCAGGGAACTTTTTTCATAGAATTTCATTATATTGGTATCGTTTATATAGATACTAATCTCATACAAATGTTCATATTCATCTGGATTACTCCCCTTGAAAAGATTTTAATTTTATTATGAATTTGTGCCTATGGTTATCAAGTAAAATCTTGTTTATGTCTCCCCTGAATGTATTTTTTTTAATTGAATTCACCTTGAATAAAACTAGAGAAAGTAATAAAAGGATAGTGCAGGGTGACTTTGTTCTCAAAGTGATAAAGGGAAAACCGAGACTGTACATATCTGTAAAAGACTTATCAATTCTACAATAAAGTCATTTTTTTCAAAAAGATCAAAAATTAGTTTTTAAGTCAGATGTAAAGCTGTCTTCAAAACATTCTACTTAACACCACCATTCTTACTCTCCCTCATTCTCTACTGTTTTAAGGAATGAAAGAGCAGAAAATTCTTATTTTATATATTCTCTATTTTATAATCCCTAAAAGGATTGCATTAAAGGCTTATAATTTATACAAATTGAGTTATAAACTATTACATTACCATACCCTCAGCCGAGTACATCATGATTTTCTTTACATCTGATTGAAATACACTTCAATCAAATACATATGATATTCATGTATAGATCACATTTTCTTTATTGAGAATTAAAATTATTTTTTCAGAAGTTTTACCTCAGTTTCATACCATAGACAACCCAAATATCTCCTGGATTACATATTTCTTCACTAGAAACAAGACTCTTCCCCTCAGACTCCTTGTCTCCAACCTGTTTTTTCATTTTTTTTTTCCCTTGGAGTGAAAGTAACAGAAATATTTACTATTGGTGAAACTGGGATTGTTTTCAAGAGGAGAGAGAATGGCTTCATATTTCTAATATGCTAATGTCCTAATATATAAAACAGGTTTGAGTCTGTTCTTTTAATAAGCCTGCTTTGATGAAACAATTGTATTATGGGAATAAAGATAGGAGGGAAAGGTTACCATCAGGAACAAATCAACCTTTTCAGGCTTTTTGAGCATTTTGGAGATGATTCCACTTCTAAAATTATTTTCAGATGTGCAGCTTGTAAATTCCTTTGTCAATTGATTTAGA